AACTGATTCCTAAGAAGTTTTATTTTTAAATTATTTTTTGTAAATATTTATATCTATAGTACTTTTTTTTTGTATTTTTAAGAATATTTTATTAAAATGTATAATACAGTAGTATGTTATACCTAATGATACTTACATTTCTGAGTTTTCACTATTTTGTTTTAATTTTAAGTCAACATATGCAGTTAAATTATTGTAATTGAAACGTTGTTATACATTATACATGTGATTTGCTTCTTAATGTTAACAGGACCATGTTGAAAAACATTATACCTGAACATAAATCCTGTATAAAGATGTTTTAATAGATAAATAAAAAAAATTAAAAAAATCTTGAACAATGTTACATAGAACAAATATCAGTGATGGTTGTTGCTATTTGATGAATATTGTTTTGGTAAATTCCGAAGGCAAAGGTGAAGGCTTTTCGTTTGTTTAGTGTCCTGACCGCCAGCACCCCCATTATACAAGCGATTCCCTCGTCACGCCCATGAAATATCGTATGGATCTTTCTACAAATCCTACTGATTATATAAAATCAATGTTTATAGAATAAGCTTGTAATTACTTACCACGTTGTCAAGATACATTCCTAACACTGACATAACAATGAGACAAATAATTCCAACCACTCCATATCTACGTGCCCTCGACATGTCTGTATGTAATGTGTAATATGTTTTTTTAATTTACATGTACGTAATTATTAAATTAATTATGGAATGCTCTCTAAAAGAGCAATTAAACAGTGTGTGTCTGCAATAAAGTTTTTAAAAATTATTATAGTAATTAATTTTAAATTATGTCCTAATAAATTCTTATTAATTCATGTCAACAATTCAATTCATCCTCTTTCATATGTTACCAAAATATGAATGTTCTTCAGGTGGAAGGCACAGACCCCGGCCCCCCCCCCCCCCCCCACCACCACTCCGGGGTCGGAATGACCGCATGCGTCTTACCAAAATGTACGGTAAAGGGGTATTTTTCACGCACCAAAGTCCGGCTCGTACATACACACAATTGACTTTACACACCGGACTTAGGGGATGTTTTCAAAAGGAGGGAACACGCATATGCGTACCCTAAATAACACTGAGTGGGGGCGGGGCACGGACTTGTGTTTTGGAAGGTTTAACTGTCAGGTTTGGCTTCTGCCTCATGAAAGTCCATAGTTTACGTAGTGATACATAGGTAATTAGTGAAGCTCCTGGTGTTAGGGTGGATAGGCTGGTAGTTGACATAGATGACAGCACAACGATAAATCGCCTGTTTCCATTGTGCTGTTGGGAAAGAGAAGTCGTTGATTCGTAATTAAGGGACTTTTAGATTCGCACGAAGACAATGGGGATTGCTACGGTCGACGTCCTTTTAATGCACTGCCTTGAATGGACGTCCCACGTATCAGTCCACGCAAATCTAAAAGTCCCTATTAAGTCCAGTGGACAGAACAATATGGTTAAAAGACGAAAGAAATGAAAACACAGTGATCGTTGTTCAATGCCATTCATAGTGTTTTTCTGCATAGATCCCAATCTAGTGCGCGAATCAATTTTAACATTTTTGGTTTAAATAGTTTTAGTAAAATGGTCCCTGACGCTTTCTACGCATACGTGGTATCATATGAAAGAAGATAATATTTTTTTTGTAATAATGAACTACAATATAAATCTTTATGTTGACTTGCGGAGATGTTGCTGGAGAAAGTTGGGGTTTTCTTTTTCAGGAAGCACAAGTGTATTTCACGTTGTAAAACTCATTTATGAGGATATAAATGCAGTTTATAAAAGCATTACTTTATTTCATGACAGTTTTTCATGTTGAGGTCATCATTACCTCGATTCATATTATGAAATGAAATGGACCTTTTGCAACACATTGCTCCACGCGGTTCGGGCAGTTTAAATTTTAATAAAAGGTTACTGAAAATACAGATAATGATCTCAAATCATTTTGATAGCTACTTGTTTTCATTTTATGTTACTTCATCTTGGTGAGGGATTACTTTTTTAAGAGGGCACCAGATTTTATGAAGGCGTTCCATAATTTCGTACTTAATTTGTATATAAGTCTAATGCATGACTCTGCTTTGTGCAACACTTCCGCCGAACATCGGTGGAAGTGCTGAATTATGTCTTATAGTGGGAATCTTACCCCCGCCAAAAAATAGAATTACTCATTGCTCGCTGCTAATGTGGTGCCCGAACTTAAAATGTCGCAGCTCAATATGAAATGTGACGATATTTTCCTACCGGTGGCGGGAAAGACATCCACTTATATGGACAGGGGAAAAAGGACAAAGCTGTCAGAGGCAACGAGAGCTTTAGCAGACAGAGAAGGCATGAGCTTGTGATGGCTACATCAGCGCAGCTAGCGCCACCTGACCGAAGAATAAAGGAGCTTAGGCTTATTGTCGACTTAATTGACGTATGTATATTAAAACATGTTGATTTTATTACAACAAAATATGTAATGTTAAATCTAGTGTTAAATGAAGGTCTTGCTAGGTCTTTGTATAAAAAGAATTTTCATATTTGCATTGATATTGTAGGAGTTTGGGACTATAGTTGACATAACATTTTAAGCAACCCAGGAAAAAAAGTTATTTCCGTTCTAATGTTCTTCATGCTTTTATGCCTTTCCTAGGTTTTGAGATACTTTACCTGATGGGATCAGGGATCTGTGTGTGGAGGCCTCTATATCGCCCTGTTTGGATGCGCTGAGGGGCTCCCATTGAGAGGGCGTTCGGATGTATAGGTGTTAGAATTTGATTCGGTTCGGTTTCTGGCACTTGTGTCGGAGTGCCTTTTCGGTGGAGGGCTGACATTCGAGGAGTGAGCTTCTTGGCGCGTTCAAGCAGGGTGGTGTGCAGGTCTCTACACGCGGATCTCTGATCCCTTCAGATATTACAATAAATGAATTACATTAAATTGAATCATGTAATGTTATTTTATGATGTGGAGAAGTTCATGACAGAATGGAAATTCTTTTAGGCAATCCTCAGGCGTCCGCTGGTGGCATTTTCACTGTCTTGTAACTCTTTCATGGTATATGCTTTGTGTTGTCATGTCTATTTCGTTTATACATGTACCTGGAAATCAAATAAATACAAAAAAATAAAAACGGTATACCTATAAAGGGATTTTTTGTTATTGTCGTTGATTGGCAATTTTGAGCGGTCCCAGATCACTTTCCGCTTTTTTGCCTTAGGGGAGAAGCTAAAGCAATAGACCATTTAGATAATTCACTTGTTACGGGTAATTGATTGTGACCCCTGTTAATCACCTAAACTTAAGCGTCTTTGGGCAAGTTTGGATAAATTTGGGAAACTTAATGCACAATCTTTGTTAATTGCCTCGTTACAAATTATTCCATTCACCTGTTACGATTTATTGTATTTCAATAGACAGATTGCGAATTGCATACAGTTCGTGTTTAGGACAAGGAATAAAGTTTGTTCTAAAGAGGCAAGTTTGGGAAAATGTGAGCTATCATTTTTGTATGCGAAAAAAATATATATATTTGGTCCATTTGCTCACTATGATTGTCCACAGCTGTTTGAAAATTTGAAGAAAAAAAATCGCAAAGGGTTGGATTATCGTTTTTTGCGATTTAATAAATAAATAAAATTTAATTTAATTTTTTTTTTTAATCTTTGTGTTTCTTTGCTCACGATAGATCCCCACATGTCGTTAGGTTGATGTTTGACCCATGTTTGTCAACCTAGAGGGGTCCAAGGGTAACTTTTTAATAAAAAAATCGTCAATTTTTGGCCAAAAATAATATACACCTGGGTAGATTATTGCCTCATTGCCAAGGAACGTTAAGACCGTGGCAGGGAATCTAATCTAGTGTTCTACAGTCATCTGACTTGGGGTTTGGAGTTACTCTTAATGTACCAAGTGAGATAGCAGTTTATTTAATTAATCAATCAACTCACTTATTATGTAAATTACAAACTCTTCCTTCATAGCCTGCCACACGTCTGCCTCAATATCGTTGTTTCTCTTTCTGTCCTTTCTGTCTCGTCTCCCCCACTCTGCCCCTATGTCTCTCCCATGTCCTTTCTTCAGTATCTCACCCCAACCCCTTCGCCCTCTCCATCTCACCACTCATATCTCTGCCATCCTCAATCTTATCTTCTGTACTCTATCAAGGTTTTACCACACCCCTTCCATCTATAATCACCTTCCATCAGTTACCTTAAATCTTCCATCTCTCCCAACCTTTCTAATGGACGCCTTACTTTCCCCTAAAATGAGTCCTCCTCTGTCCTGTATCTTATCCATGACAACCGCCCTTTCCGACTCTCCATAGACTGATCATCCTTACCACCCATTCTCTTTTTGTGTTTCTTTTTTTTTAATTGGGTACGCAAGGATAACATGAAGTTGAAGTTGAAGTTTATTTATTCCACATTTTACATTAAAAAAACTGTTTAAATTCTTCTTTCTTTCTTTTTTTAATATACAGGCGTATACGAGTAGATTTCACACAAGAAAAAAAAAGGATTTCAAAGCAAGTATAATGAACGGAAAATAAGTACGAAATTTCGAAATATATAGAATATATAAATATTCTGATTTAGACTTAATTTTGATCAAAGATATAAGACCATATAAATTTGCAGCAAGTATGTGGAATATTGAACACAATAGGAAGACATTTATACATATTGAATTTTGATAGTCCTTGGGAAAACCAAACATTCTTTCAAATTCCGAGAAAATAACTTCATTTTTTAAGTTTTGAAGATAGATTGCTTGAACCAACAAAAGTAGCTTATATATATATAGCATCATGACACAGGCTGATTGAGGTATTACGATGACATGAAACAAAAGAGAGAGAAAAGGAGGGACTAAGGCAGAGGAAAAGAAAAAGGGATTTGCACATTGAAAGCATTGGTCAAGCGCCTTAAAGATAGAAGCATAGGCCTTAACAATCACGTTGAGACGATTTTCAATTTTTTTTTCCTTCACATCACCCTCTAATGGGAGATGAGTACTGTTTATCTCTATACCGTTGTTTTTTTCTTGTCCCTGCTCTGTAGCAACGGACACAAGTAAGACAACAATACAGAAACTTCCTGATTAATGACGTCTTCGGGCATATGCAATGCAATAGGCCATGGACTTCCTAGGTTCATATCCCATATATCAACGAACATTAAGCCAAGACCTTTAAAAACATCCCTGACAAGAGATCTCATCTCATTGAAGACGACGTCTCGCGCAGGGAACCCCGATGACTTGTCTAAGGGATGTGGACTTTTATAAACAAATATTAGATCTGGACATCGCTGCTTGGCAACCAAAATGGCTGCCCTGATGCCCTTCAACCGGTCTGTGTACGCCTCCCACTGCCAGATAGAGAAGTGTGCCCATGGACTGAACACGACAACATTCCTACAAGTATGACGTGGCAACTCGAGGATAACATCAGCCTCAAACTTGACCGTCGAGAGATTGACAAAGATAGGCTGGGAATGGGTCGTAAGAGGATGGAAGATAAAAGTAAGGTTAAGATTTGCTGCCTTGTCACGTCTCTGCAGCAGGAAACTCATCTTATGATCCTCCGGTTGTCCTAACCCTAGGGCCTCGGTGATGGCGGCAAACCATTGCCTTGTGGTCGAATCACCGGTGAAGTAGATGTTGGTATCGTGAAGACATTGATGTACATTGGCCTTGTTCAAAGGGACACGAGGACCACAAGTTAATGAGAACCAAGTCTTGTTCCACCAGTATCCTTCTGTCAAAGGCGTGTCCATTCCTGGTTCACAGTGCGGTAGATAAGACGAGCCATCGGATAGAAGGTGTTGTCTCTTTGAGTCATCCGCTTTGTTTAAATAAAAACGTCGAGATTGGAGAAAACATTAAATAATACAAAATGTATATGAGTGCCATAAACAGACCCGTAGCCACGGGGGGGGGGGGGGGTGGGTCGAACTTGTTTAGACCCCTCCCCAGGACGTCGATCAATTACATGTGCCCCCCCCCCAAAAAAAAAAAAACATCAAACTCTGGCTACGGCCATGGCCATAAATGTTTGTAATATTTCCCCTAAAATGACATTTTGTCCTAATTCGAACTCAGTTGCATGGTTCCCTTTGATAAGTTCGGTAATATGAGACCTACGACATAAATGATATTGCCTTTTTCATTTCTAACTGCCTTATTGCCAAAATAATTAATGGAATATTTCTGGTGAAGTCCTAAAGGCAGGGTAAAATGTTGCAAAAACCAGTAGCGTATCTTGGGATTATTTACTCAGGGCAAAGTTAGTTACATAATATTACGAGCAATTTTTTTATGCATTCTACCCATATGAAAATTTGCTAGTATCCGCAGCAATCAAACGGTAGAGTTTTGAATTGTTAACAATGATAAGAAAATTTTATTCCCTTATTCCTTGTTATAGGGCGCAAAATCTGATGAAATATGCGGGGAAATATCGTCAACGAATATATAATTTTCCCGACAATGAAGATTTCTTTCAGATCTTTCTTCAGATGTTGAACCCTTTCAAAACACCTTCCATGTTTCATATATTTTGGCACAAAAATAAGAATAAAACCTGACGCAACATTGCGAGGGAGCATAGTGAACGATGATTTTAGCGTTTAAAAAACTCAACAACTATTTATATTCCTTCTTTGTAATTATTTACTAATACATGTACATTATTTTATACAAATATATTAATTTTAGATTACATATTAAACTAGTCAAAGGTATTGCAAAATGAATATCAAAAGAAGAAAAATCATTGAAACAGTAACTAATACTAAAATAGTTTCTTTTCTCTTGTACTTGCAATTCATTATTCGTTGTATCTTGCTATTCTTTGCTATTTATTCATGAAAAGACACATGGATTGGAAAAGAAGACCTTCGGGTTGTAGCAATTTATGTAATATTTTTCTTTTCCCGGTATCCATGAGACTCTTTTCCAACCTTACTGCTGCTCTGTGTTTATTGTTCTGTCGGTTTTGTCTTTGCCTAATGAATACTACAAATATAATAGTGATAATGATGATAATAATAATAATAATGAAAGAAATCTCACCAGTAACAAAAATATCACTTGGAACATTTGTGATGGCTGTATAATAATATGGTCTGTAACGAAACAGCAGTTGAAAAAAAAAAATTACTCAGATACTAATTTCACATCCATTTTTCCATCAAATAAAACGGATCCTTAAGCGATCCATAAACTTTTATATGTCACTCTGATCAGTAAAAGGATTCTATTTTCAGTGCTCCGTTTACTCGGATACCCGCTTGAATTGTACCCAGACCTAACTGTAATACATTATACTTTTACACAAGCACTTACAGAAAATTCCATGCCTGCCAGGGAAGCAATTACAGTCTAACACTTAGAACGTTAACCAAACGTTCAGAACATCTATCAAATCGGGTAGAAAAGCATTTATTTAAAATATGTTGGGGAGACGTAATACATAGTCATCTTTTAAAGTTATAACCTAGCTGCTCGTATAATATACAAATATACCAAGCTGTGAGAAAGAATTGTGGACATTATTGATCTGAGGAGGAAGGCTGGCATAGTACTATATTTTCCGAGGGGCAAAGCCCCGAGGAAAAATAGTAACTTTTGCCAGACCCTCCGAAGATATTCTTACGAACTAAATGCTTAAAGATAAAGACCGGTTATGGTCATGCGATTGCATTGTGAAAGAAACGTTGTGGAATCGATCGGAAAAGGTTGATCATCTAGCATATAAGTATTGGTGTGTAGTTCAAGGTTCTGGAATCATCAAAATGATAAGAAATTTGGCCCAGTCTTGGTAAAGTTACAAGCACTGTACACATAAATATATGTATGGGACTACGCACACGTGCGCGACACGTGCGTTTATCTCTCACATACCAATAGATCAACTAATTTACCAACTTAGTAGGCGGTTTCCCGGCAAAATTGTTATCATCATGTAGTCATACAATATTCTTTCACATGATTGGTAATAAGAGCTTCCATTTCATTTTTTTTAAATTAGGGCGTTTCCAATACTGGTCTTTACCTTTAATATAATTATTTTATATCCCTTTTGTACGATCCGAACCGATTAGCTACCAGCTGATCTGGATCGAGCGCTATACAGCGCGGTCTAAAGTACCGGTGACTTGCGCCGATACCGCAGGCGGCAGTGTTAAGAGCAGTCCGTATGATGGTGTGACCAGGGATATGAGAGTTAAAACACCTCCCTGGTGTGACCATAGTTTGTGCGTGACCTAAGTTTGCCATCTCTAAAAATCGGTAAGCTTTCGCAAATCTGATATCACCAATAGAAAGCAAAATTTAAACGTACTCAGTGACGGAATTTTCCTCGGAATTGGGTATGACATTATAAGCATATTGACAAAAGAGGCAAATTTTGCAGTCATTTGCATCCGTTCCGAAAAATTATTGACTTACCAAATACCAACAAGGGTTTGGAAATAATTGGAAATCTTCATTTTGAGAGCAGATATCCTCTGAATTGTAGGTATGACGTGGTGCCAACTGATTGTATGATCTCTTACCTTGCAAATGATGAAAATACCTTATTTTTTATGGATCGCCTTAAAGAAAATCAGCTGTAAATGCTTGTAAGGACTCGCTCAACTGTTCGCCTGTGCGTTCGAATTTGACACAAAGCGCACGCTCCATCCAGTTTAAACACGTTTAACCGTTCACACACCAAATGTCAATCTCTCTAGATACAAACTTCGTATCTGCAGCCTGCTTTGAGGCAGCCTTTCACACACAGCTAAAATTCATCGTATCTACAGCTGATTAGTTTAAAGCTGTTTAACTGAACAGTTTTAAACAGCTTTTAAAAAAATTCCTGTGTGAACGTCGTTTATATGATGTTCGCGATTCATACGCCCCTCAGCCTTTTGACACACAAGTAAAATCCTTTAAAGCTGATTAGTTTAAAGCGCTTTAAACTAATCAGCTTTACATACGACATCATTCACACACAGAAATTTCGGTGCGATCGTTAGTCGTTAAGTGATTAACTACTGCTCTTAAAATGCGCAGTAGTGCCATTGCGCATTGAAGCCTGCTTTGAGGGGCGCGTATGAATTGCGACTTCGTATCTATCCGAACATCGTATAAACAAAGCAGGCTGCAGATACGAAGTTTGTATCTAGAGAGCTTGACATTTGGTGTGTGAACGGTTAAACGTGTTTCAACTAGATGGAGCTTGCGCTTTGTTTGATATGACATGACCTTCAATGCGCAATGTCACTACTGCGCATTTTAAGAGCAGTAGTTAATCACGAAACGATTAACGATCGCATCGAAATTTCTGTGTGTGAATCGTATGTACAGCTGATTAGTTTAAAGCCCTTTAAACTGATCATGTTTATAGAATTTTAGCTGTGTGTGAAAAAGCTGTAAGACAGCATGCGCAGTTCTGCCCAGGAATAATAAGTGAAAACTATTCGGAGCGCGGCTCTGGCAAAGATTTCTTTTTCATAGTGAAATTATAATTTATCACGTGACCACCAATTGACCAATTATGTGTTTAGAAAACTCGTGAATATTCATAGAGGGATATAAACAGTGATAATTATCATAATAACATTCTTATCGAGATTACTTTGCATTTTTTCTCCAAACTTTAAAATAATGGTACAGCGCATTCTCTTCCTGTTCTCTATTCTGTTCCCATTTGTTTGGGGATGGGGTGGGTAGGATTGGACTCGTACAGTGTCAACGATGAGGTAGAGCTCAATACGTAGTATGATCCATAGAATCAGCAACAACTTCCATGATTATGAAGGCAATTATTATGATGGTAATTCAAATTTCTAAACATATCTGAACAAAAGAAGTTTACTATGCACCCACCCCTGAATATTATTATTATGGCTAGATATCAATATCAGCATACCTCTCAAGATATTTCTTGCGGTCTGATGGTAAACGTGTCTTGAAGTCTTGTTCGTAGAGAGCTCGATTTCCATTAAGGCTCACTAGTGAATCGCATGGAAGGGTCTTCGGTGGATTGCATACTATGATGGCGTACTGCAGAGCTTTAGGCTTGGCTACACACTTCTCACTCCAAACGGCGTCGAGGCTGAGGGAACACGGTGATCGTTCTTCGTGCTCTCCAAATTTGAAAAGTCCTGACCAGCTGGGAGCTCTCATGCTATGGCTGTTATACAATTATTAAATGTATCATACAGTGCGTCCCAAATAAAACGAAACCGAGAATTATCGATGTTTTATCATAACTTAATTACAATTATAATTGATAAATTACACATATTTGGAAAGCTTAGATCCTCTTGTTTCATTTGATGCAACTCATTAGGATGCATATTTCACGCATGAGTGATTAAAATCAATTTGAAAAGTCGTTTGACGGGCGGTGTCTGAGTTTCAAAGAGAAAATAACATTTCTAGAAAGTTGGGTTTCTGCCCTTTCCTATGACACCTCAATCAGGAAAAATGAGCAAGGAATGACAAAGTTCTGTTTGTTTAAAGTAGCCCTTACATTTTCATAATTTTAGCAAACAAATTCGTTTTAACTGGCTGCCTGCCGTAGCAAAAAGCAGAATTGACAAAAGTCTTAACTCCGTTTCGTTGACAATCAGCCATGTATGAAGTCTTTCGTCTACGGCTGATTGTCAACGAAACGGAGTTAAGTCTTTTGTTAACGTCGTTTGTTGATACGGAAGGCAGCCAGTGAAAACGAATTCGTTTAATCAAATTATGGAAATGCAAGCACTACTTTAAACAAACAGAACTTTGTTATTCCTAGCTCATTTTTTCTGATTGAGGTGTCATGAAGGGCAGAAACTCAACTTTCTCGAAATGTGATTTTCTGTTAGAAATTCAGATATCGTCCGAAAAATGACTTTTTGTTTTCCTCTCTTCGAATTGATTTTAATCACTCATGCGTGAAATATATATTATTATGAGTTGCCTCAAATGAAAGAAGAGGATCTAAGCGTTCCAAATATGTGTAATTTATCAAATATAATTGTGATTAAGCCGATCGCCTGTCTGATCAACAAAATATTTATGATTTCGAAATTTCAAAAACCGTTTACTTAACGGTTTTTAAAAATAATACTACAATCTATGGGGGAAAATGAGTATGGTAAAATTCGGTAACTCAAAGATTTTTACTTTTTTGAGGCACTTCATGATAAATTTTTAGGGCTTCAATATTACACCATATCGCAGACACTAATAACACGTAGGGCTATGCATCTCATATTTTTAGAACTGGAAACATTGTTAAACGATGCCTTTAAGCAATATTTTAGATCGATAGGGCATAACTACACTTATTGTTTGACGTGATGTTCCCTTTAGGGAAGGACTTACAGGTATTCAGTTCTGATCCACTTGGCTAATTCAGCGGGATGTACAAGTGTGATACGTAGTCTAATCATCCCCCTCCACCCAGCAACAAAGAGTAAGGTGTATAGACCATTCTCATGGTCAACTATTCGCCCAACAGTAGATGCTGGAAACAAAAGAGAAAGATTAGTTAAGATGACGAAAGACAAACAAAAATAGCCGTACGTCAGGAAAGGAGTGAATGTCAAACGTTCAGAGATGTACATGTAGTATAAATATGGTGTAGCTTGGAAGACCTGCCGATCTGAGTAAATTGCGGGCTGGATATCGGGCCGGATATATTACGGACCGAACTATGGGAAAATCCAAGTCAACTCGGGGAACCGAGACAGGCAGGGTAAAAGGTGTAGAGTTTGTCAAGGTAGCTGAAACTATTGAAATCAGATCAGCACACCCCAAGAAATAACTTACGTTATTCTGAAAGATTCATTGTATTCTTGCATATTCATCCACACGATTCCTCGGCAACGTTAATGTGAGAGAAGTATAAAGCAAAATATTCATCATTATCAACTTCAGGTGGCGCTGTAAAGCGCTGCTGTGGTCTTCACGAGAGCACGCCATGCAACTCTTTCATCTGCCATTATTTTGTGTTGCACCTTTCATTCCTTGTCCAGACACTTTCTTGATATCATCAGTCCAAGATATTGGTGTACGACCTGTACCCCGTTTTCCTTCGACTGCTCCTTGCAGTATTTGCGTCTCAACACCTCCAGATCTCCTAACAATGTGCCCAAAATAATTTAGTTTTCTTTCCATGATTCCCCTTCCGATGGTCAAGTCTGTTCCAATCTTTTCCAGGATCCACACATTTGTTTATGATTTAGGGACATGCTACAATCGCCTACGTCACATTATTTTGGGCGTTTTATTTGTTTTATTTGGAAGAGAAAATGAATGATGAAAAATCTGTTTTTGTTTTTGTTTTTACGACTTAATAAAGTATCCATTTAATCTAAGCTAATCTTTTCCGAGTCCTGAGGTCTTAAGCTTTCCATTGATATATAGTTACAATTTCTTTATAGAAAGGCTACTTTAATATAGATAGGACAATTTATCACAATTCCTCAAGCCACTATCTTACAAAAGGTCAGCCTACAAGGGAAGATTTGAGAAAGAAACGACACTTCAGTGTAGTTTATGGCCTGATTCACTTTGAAAACATTGCATTCTCGTAAACGTAAACAAAATTGAGAGTTTTCTCATTCTGGTCATTCTCATTTGTACCAGTAAACGGTTAGCAATGTCTTTCCAAAAGAATTCCTCTAAAAATGCCATCTTTTTTCAAATATTGCTGGATCAAATTTAGTTGAAACACAAACTAAACACGCTTGTGTGTCCCATATGTTATCTGTGTCTGGAGCGTTTCCTTTATGTGCTTTCTAAACCTCATACTATATCATTTCCCTTTCTATTAAATAATAAGCCTTTAAGAATAACTGAAATTTCTTTTAAAATGACATATTCTGATCATGCAGTATTTTTTTTTTTTTAAAGGTAAAAATAAATGCTAGCTACTGATCACATGCTAATGTACCGTTTTTATTTGGATCCTCCATGATGGCAAACCAGTAGTCTCCACCGAGTATCTTTAGCCGTCCCATGGCATCTCGAGCCTCTAAACTAAACTTCAGTATGTCCCCTACCACAACTGTCAGTCCCGTTGCATCTTCAGTCGTAGGTGACCATGGAATTGTCTCGGATCCACGAACAATTGATAAGAGAGAAACGGTCGTACGATTTGGATGCGTTGGTCCACAGCTTGATACCAGGTGCATTGGAGCTATGCTACGACGTGGTCTCTCATGTTTAGAGAACGTGATCAAGTTAGTTCGTGAGATCTCCTACGGAAGAACAAAATGATTGAATAATAGATCATATATCTATATCTATGGACTGACTGAGTGCATGCCGACTGATCCTCGGTGGTTGCCGACTATTGTTTGGTTAAGAAAAATTGATCTACGAATCATGTACAATAAGTTACCCATCCAACTCCAAACGCCCGCCGAACATCAACAACCAGGACGTTTTTTTCTTTTCTTCAAGTTTAAACATGATATTGTTGCTTATACTGCTTGACACAAATTCAATTTGTTTGATACTTTTGCATCGAAAGAAAAGAGGAAAAAGAAAGGGAAAAGAAGAAGAAAGGGAACTTTTATACCTGTTTATTTATAATATACACAGTTTTTTGTGTCTAATATTCAATGCGATATACAATTTACAAGAGACCAATGTCCTGACAGCCCATGAAACCAACTCGTTTGTCTTGCGAGCTTTCTAAAAACTTTATTGAGGGTTTCATGAAGAGCAGTACAGTGGAACCTCATTATAAAGAGCTCTGATATAGCAAGGTATCTGTTATGACAAGCTTATTTACATTGTCCCTAGGACCTCGTTATAAAGAGGTTCCACTGTACTAACATTGTTGGTCTCATTATGTTGAGTGTTCTTTGCGCCGTTATAGTCCTCAGGCATTTCCCCGTTTCAAATGTCTATCTAACCTGATTTTTATCTTTTAAAGATACTTTGTCCCTTTTGCAGCCATCATCTAATTCTGTAGAACTTTGTAGGAATTACGAATATTTCATGTATGTCCTATCTGTGAAATTTAAATATGAGTAGTGTCCTAGTATTCAAATTATGCAAGGAAACCCGTTTAACTTCTAGACTTCACTTTCAGACACTATTGAGTCTGACATCTTTTTTTCATTGGAAATACATGTAACATAAAATGAGCTTTAACAGCTGTAGTTGATTCGACAACTAATGGTCTATATTCTCCCACTAAAAGCCATTTTCAAGCCCATTTGTTTCGAGGGAAGTTCTAGATTAGGCCAAAAAAAAATTGTTTGGTTGTCCTCGATTGCTTTTCTGGAGTAGGGGCGGGCGGGCGGATTTTTTTCTCTTTTTTTTTCTCCCCCATTAAAAAAAAAAAAAAAATTCCATACAAAAAATAAATAATTGTGATTGTCAAGCATTTAAACAAACAAAGTCTATAAAACACTTTAATATGGTAAAATACTAGTTTCATGTACAATGAATATCAAGACCAACACAGAAAGTATTTTGGGCTTTGAAATACAGCACCTTTTAAATCTCCATCGTACCAACGCTTCATTAATTATCATTGGCGATTTCAATGACCTAGAAACCGATGAGATTGAAAGACATACCTCGTTGTCTCAGATAGTCAAGGAGCCTACTCGTGAAACGGCTATCCTGGACAAGATTCTGACTGACCTTAATGAGGACTTCTGTAATCCTCAGATTTCGACGCCAATTGCTTCTAGCGATCACAATGTTGTTACCGTCATGCCTTGTCTCGATCCTGCCGCCTCCCAGGAAATCTACCAGAACATCCTATCGCCCCTTTCGTGACTCCTCTGTCAGGGCTTTCGGGCAATGGGTACAGCAGATGGACTGTTCTATTATCGGGGACTTTGATGCTAATGACATGGCTTCAGAGTTCAATGACCTAATCAACACCAAGTTCAGACAATATTTTGAACTTGTTACTGTCAAACAAAGGTTAGATGATGAGCACATTACCCCATTCACAGTGGTTTTGAAATTTGTAGCGGCGTTGTAGCGGAGCGGCGACACCGCCATAACACCGCTACAAATGCATTCACAGTAGAAAAGTTATCCCGCTGCAGCAGCGGGATAAATATCATGTACCCATTCACGCTGCAGCGGGTGATTTTTATTACCTCCGTAACAAACACGCACGGCACGGAAAAACGATGAGGCAAGCTTGCAAAAGGTAAACATGTCAAGTTGCTTTTTGTATCCTCGATCATATTACTTTTTAAAAAACTAGCATTTTTATTGCTTCCAGTCAGAATATTTTAATTTTTTGAAGTGTGAAATATTTTTATTTGGATAATTATAATATCTACATAATAATAAAATCAATTTGAATCCACTGGTTACTTTATTTCTATTTCACTTTATGTTCCCCATTGCTGGAGAAAAGAGGTCAGTGATAGGTAAGTAAACAAATCACACGTGTTTGTCGCGGTGTTATAGCGGAGAGCCTTCACACTGAGTAAACACCGAGACAGCAGCGGGACTGTCCCGCTGCTGTAGCTAGGCGAACCTAGCGATAGTTTGTCGCGGCGTTATCGCGAGGCGGTGTTATCCCGCGATAGTTTATAACGGGTCCGAGCCTTCACACTGAAGACAACACCGCGACAGCAGCGGGACAGTCCCGCTGCTGTCGCGGTGTTTGAGGCCACTGTGAATGGGGTGGATGAATGATGAGATTCGCAGAGCAATCAATCGCCGCGATTCTTCCTTTCGACATGGGCATCCAGACTTTAAACGGTTGAGGAACCATGTACAGAGATTGATCGATAACGCGAAGGACTCATTCTACCAGCGCAAAGTTGAACATCTTAAGAAATTGGAGCCTGGGAAGTGGCATCAGCAAATCCGTCATCTTGCTGGCATCCGTAAGAAGCAGCTTAATCTTTCATCTGACGGCATATCAGATATTGACATTGCTAATGAGCTAAACACGCACTTCGCTGCCATCTGCTCTTCATTGCCACCACTCGACAGGGGTGCTCTGTCGGCTTTTCTACCAGCGCCCTCACCCCCTCCTGTGATCGACCGTCGGAGGGTTTATAAGCGCCTCTGTGGAATCAGCACTGCCAAGGCCTGTCATCCCAATGATCCCCCTTCGCGACTGTTGAAGGAGTTCGCTTATGAACTTTCTGAACCTTTGACCACTCTCTTCAATCTTTGCCTCAGTCAGGGTTGCTTCCCTGACATATGGAAACATGCATCTATCAGTGCTATTCCCAAAACTAATCCTGTCACCAGCTATGATCAGCTCCGGCCAATCTCCATAACACCCACGTTAGCGCGTATCTTTGAAGGTTTCCTCGCTGACTGGATCATGAGCAGCATCCGCCCGTTTGTTGACCACCGCCAGTTTGGTAATCTTCGTGGATCGTCAGTTACGCACTATACTTGGTCAGCCTGCTCGACACCATCCACAGAGGGCTTGACAAGGGTGGCACTCTCGCTAACCTCTGCGTCGTGGATTTTCTAAGGCTTTTGATCATGTCAACCACACCATTGTTATGAACAAGTTGATCGAGTTGATCGACTATCATCCCTACTATCTGCAGCTTCCTTTCCAACAGAGCGCAGACCGTCCGCTACCATGGGAAATCCTCTCAACAACAAGCCATCACCTGTGGGGTACCCCCAAGGTACTCGCCTCGGACCGGTCCTGTTTCTGGTCCTTATCAACGATGCAGCTCTTGAAAGTGATAACCGATGGAAATATGTGGATGACTTGACAATCGTGGAGGTCTTGAAGAAAACGCATCCATCTGAATTGCAGTCGCATCTAGACTCGTTGATCCAATGGTGCAAAGACAACGACGTTGTCCCGAATGCTGCTAAGTGTAAAGCTATGCAGATTTTATTTCTTCGCCAGCCCCCGCCACCCATCGTTCTTGACATCAACTCTACCACACTGGAAGCTGTCTCATCCCTTAAGCTCCGGCCTAGGGGTCTTTCTTCAGGATGATCTCAAATGGGATGGGCAGGTCAGCCGTTTGATCTCCAACGCTTCCAGAAGACTTTATCTCTTGACTAAGCTTCGGAGGAATGGTGTTACCACCAAGGATCTTGCTACTATCTACATGTTGTACATTAGGCCAGTGCTAGAATTAACAGCACCTGTTTGGACATCAGGGATCACAAACAACCACTCTGTAAGCATCGAGCGAGTTCAGAGGAGATCTCTCAGGATTATTACCTACCCTGACTCTAGAACTTATGATGAACTGCAATCTCATCTTGGTGTCTCCTCTCTTAAAGAGAGACGCACATCCCTTTCTCTAAGATTTGCAGAATCACTTCTCCAATCTAAGGTTCATCGACATCTCCTGCCTGAGAGCAGAGTCAATGACTGTAGCCGCATTCTGCGAAATGCACTTGATTTGTCCTTGCCTAAGATAAAACTACGAGGTACCGAACTTCCCCCATCCCATCTTTCCCTCGATCCTTGAATAATAATAAATAGAGGCTTAGCTAATTATCAGTATGTTGTATGTCATGTATTTCAGCAATAATATAATTATGTGCAATATTAATTGTCATGATGATTGACACAGCAGGTTCTTCCATTCATTCATATTTTGATGTTGCATGTACTTTTATCCGTCCTCTCACTCTCTCATCCCTTTTCTCTATCTGAACTTGCCACTTTTCAAATTTCCTTTTCTTCTTCAGTTCTGGTCTTTCCTCTCTATTTCTATTTCACTCCCACCCCCTCTCTCTCAGCTCTGTCTCTGTCTCTCTCTCTCTCTCTCTCTCTCTTTGCTCTCTCTGCCTCTTCCTCTTTATCCCTTCGTCTCTCCTTCCTCCCCTCTGTTTCTCTCTCACACTTTCTGTCCCTCCCTCCTCCTCTCCACCTCTTTTCTCTTATGATGATGTTTTACAGTACAACATTCTATAATTATATGTTATTTTTACTGTGACCAATAACACCTAAGGAATTCCATTTTTTTTTTTAAATAATGATAAATTGAGGCTTAGGTAATTATCAGTATGTTATATGTCATGTATTTCAGCAATATAATTATGTGCAATATTAACTGCCATGATGATTGGCATAGCGGGTTCTTCCATTCATTCGTATTTTGATATTGTATGTACTTTTATCCTTCCTCTCACTCCCTCATCCCTTTTTTCTATTCGAACTTGCTTCTTTTCAAATTTCCTTTTCTCTCCTTCAGTTCTGGTCTTTCCTCTTTATTTTTATTTCACTCCCATTCCCTCTCTCTCAGCTCTATATCTGTCTCTCTGTCTCTCCCTC